AATATTTTTCAACAGGAACCCCAGTATTACTCTCTCTACCCCACTTCCTCTATGGCAGCAATGATCTCCATCAAGGTGTGATCGGACTGAACCCAAACTTTGATGAGCACTCCATATTTCTGGATGTAGAACCGGTGAGGAACCCATTTTAGTTTGCACAAGTTTTCTTTTATTGAAAGGAAGAAGCTTTAAGATAAGACAATGGTTATGCATCTTGTGTCATTTGTAGATTACAGGTTTCACTCTGAGATTTGCAAAAAGACTTCAGGTCAACATGCTGTACGGCCCATCGGATAGTATTGTGTATGTAAACAGACATCACACATTGTCATTCATACACTAAATTCATACATGCACGGCTTCACATGATGTCCTGTGTCTTTCTTTCTCACAGAATTTTGAACAAAATCAAGGACTACACAGTTTTCCCTATTTTATGGGTAAACGAGGTAAGCGTTAATGAAGCATCTATTTCATTAAAGCAGTTAGGTCCAGCTAAAGTATATAGGCCCAATAAAGCACCTATAATAACCTTAGTATTCCCATTTAGCGGAAATATGTCAGTTTGAGGCTATCTATCTATACAGTATATATAGTGATCTAACCTATCTATCTATCTATATATATATATATACACAGTATATTTAGTTTAATAAAGCATTAAGTATTAAGCATTTAGGTTCATATAAAACATTAGGTCCAACTAAAATGTGTAAGTCCACTTAATGCATGTAGGTCCAAAGAAAGCATTTAGGTTGAATTAAAGCATATAGATAAAAATAAACTATTTAAACTATTTAGATCAAACGGAAGCATTTATGTTCATCTAAAACATTTAGGTTTAATTAAGTATTTAGGTCAAATACAGCATTCTGGTCCAAATAAAGTATTTATTAAGGTCCAATTAAAGAAAATTGGTCAAAATAAAGCATTAAGGTCCAACTAGTTAATTAAGTCAGCAAAATCATATTTTTTTTATTTTTTTATACAGCATATATTAAATAATACATGCAAATGTGATATGTGTGTATGATTATATGCTGTGGGGTTGTGACTGGTCCAACTAAAGCATTTAGATAAAATAAGTACACTATTGATACATTATCTCTACTTTAATTTGGTACTTTAGACCCATTGGGACCAACAAAGTAATTTCTGAAATCGTACATCTGATATATCAGAAGAATTATTACGGTCCATAAACAGCTAATCTCACATGTCTGACCCCTGGACCATCTGATTGTTTCATCAGAGCAGGGTTAGGTGCCGCCTGACTGCTGACTGACTGACTGAGATTTTGTCTCTTATTTGTGTTAGACGGCAGTTCTGGACGATGAGACGGCCGACATGTTCAAGAAAGAGCTGATTTCTCGGATGGACCTGTTGGAGGGGTTTCAGATCGGACTCATAGTGGTTGGCTTAGTCTTATTCGCCAGCTGTTTGATCGGATTGATTGTGGTGTGCACGAAACCGAGCAATAACAAATTTCTTTGATTGTTAAATAAAGGGAGGGATGCTTGGTGCTTTCCGTGTTTGATTTTTTTGATAGCGCACTTTGTGGGAATTGTATATTGTAATTGTTATTTGCACTCAGAGTACCGCAATTCTATTTATATAATTTATAATATCTGCATTTTTGTGGAGCAAAATGATTTATTTCTGTATTTCGCTCGATATTGTATCAAGTCATACTTTAAATAGTTATCAGGGCAAAAATTCTGCTATTTTGTGGTCGTACTGTGGTTAATTTAAATATGAAATAGTTTTGTATGTCAGCACAATTTCAGTAAAACAAAGAACTGTGAAACTTGGCCTCATTGTGATTTGTGTTTTCTGGAATTGTTTTTTTTTTTCTGTACTCTTTGCGTAGTTGTTGCCGTCTACACATCTCAAATCACATATCAAGTTTTGCCTTCTCATGCGTAAGAACGATCACCAGACTGATAAACAGACACAGAGGAAATTCTGGAACAGATTTCTCTGTTATACCCTGTAAATTCATATGATTTACTTTCCATTCTCCAATGGCTGCTAAATCAGAATGGGAGGTTTTGTAGAACGAGAGGCTTGGGGTTGAGTGGGAAACAGGGGTTTGTTTAATATGAAAGTAGGCCTGGGAGCTCTGTATCCCTCCTGCTTTATGAATTATAAAACGCAACTGGTCATCTCCGACTGCTGCTTTTCTGCTCTGGTTTGACCCATGGGTTTTAAACTGCTAAAGGCCAGAGCAAACAGCAGGTTTTTACTCTACTTTGGAATAAAGGCTTGACAAATGTCCATGCTACTAACATAAAAATACGCATAATCGTCCAATGGCTGCTAAATCAGAATGGGAGGTTTTGTAGAACGAGAGGTTTGGGGTTGAGTGGGAAACGGGTTTGTTTAATATGAAAGTAGGCCTGGGAGCTCTGTATCCCTCCTGCTTTATGAATTATAAAACGCAACTGGTCATCTCCGACTGCTGCTTTTCTGCTCTGGTTTGACCCATGGGTTTTAAACTGCTAAAGGCCAGAGCAAACAGCAGGTTTTTACTCTACTTTGGAATAAAGGCTTGACAAATGTCCATGCTACTAACATAAAAATACGCATAATCGTTTGTTAATGACATTTCAACAGCTCCTTGAGTAATATATGTCCAAATACTGTATGATGCATTATAAGAAGGGTGCATAGTATTTCAGAACCAAATTGATAATTGGTTGATATTAGATATTTTTTTATTTTTTGGAGTCGTACTGTATGTGTGTGTATATTAATTTATACATTAATTCATTTTGCATGCTCGTTTCCTCTATTTTTACATCTTACCTTTGCCACCATCATAAAAATAATCTTTACAAACAATTTAACACTAATAACTTTATAACACTCTTAAAGGGATAGTTCACCCAAAAATGAAAATTCTGTCAATAATTACTCACCCTCATGTCGTTCCAAATCCGTAAAACCTTTGTTAATCTTCGGAACGCAAATTAAGATATTTTTGATGAAATCCAAGATCTCTCTGACCCTGCATAAGGCAGCAATGAAACTGAAATATTCCCAGGCCCAGAAACTTAGTAAGGACATCGATAAAATAGTCCATGTGACATCAGTGGTTCAACTGTAGTTTTATGAAGCTAGGAGAATAGTTTTTGTGTGCAAAGAAAACAAAAATAACGACTTCAACAATTCTTCTCCTCCAAGTCACATATTCCGCCATTATGGAGAGTACCAAGACGCATGCGAATTGCTTTCCTTTGCAGCTGGATACTATTGTGCATAAATGAGGCTAATGGCAGAAGACGTGATTTGAAGGAGATTTGTTGAATAAAGTAGTTATTTTTTTTATTTCTTTGCACACAAAATGTATTCTTGTAGCTTCATGAAATTACGGTTGAACCACCGATGTCCTTACTAACATTTCAGTTAGGCTATTACTCTCTATGGAGGGTAGGACAGAACATGATGGTGAGTAAATAATGACAGAATGGCAACTCACTGTTTTTTTTTAACAACTCTCTATTCTCGCGATAACTGTGAATATCACATGTAACATGATGTAGGCGCGAATTCATCATCAGTCAATTTATCAGTCTAATTAACAGACAGCAGCTTTTATAACAGTTTGAAGCTGACCGTAAAACTGACTCAAGCTCCTTTGTATGACTGGATCTAAAACCTTCAGATGACACATTTCTGCTTCTCTGTAAGTTATCGAAACCACATATGAAAATACACATCAAACAGAAGACGCGCGAGTTTGCGTCGTATTAACGTGATAGACAACTAATTGCCCAATAACAGCACATATTAACCGAAAATGTCGTAATGAGAAAAATTGTCACTGTCGTAAATAACTGAACTGTGAACGTAACCATATTATGCGTTCAAACCATGGTTCAAACACAAGACTGACGATCTTATTCTGCTGCGGCGTGAATTTTGTTTTCATTATGTTTCATGTGTAATGTTGCTGTCTTCACAACTTCACTCTTAATGAGTTTAATCTGATTAATATTAAGTAACTTACTACAGATATGAATCAATTATCAGATTCTTTTGTAAAGATTCTGTAACACATGGGACAGATTAAAGTTGTTTAATGCAGGTGTTCAGGCTTATATCATTAATAAATAGGAATACACAAATCAAGACATAATAAAATAAAAATATCATTCACAGGGAATACAGCATATTCGCTATAGTAGCCTATTATATTAAAACATATTGTTACTCCAAATGCCCTTTGAAGAGGGCACAAAATGCCACAGAAAAAAAAAGTGAACATGAAACGTCTGCAAAGTGCAGATTCAGTCAAAAACAACTGAAATTTGGCATTAAACAAAATTCAATTCGGGCATTTCAGAGAGAGAGACGGAGAAAACTACAAATGTGGGACTAAGTGTGACTGAATTTCTCATTTGTTTTTAGAGCTGAAGTTTTCACTATTTACACAGATACTCAAAATACAAAAAGAGATAAGTTACACAGACATCGAGTAATCCAAAATTGGAGGCTGTACAATGCTATACATCATCTAAAATGAGTGACAATCACATTACAGCTGTGCACACTGAGCAAACCACAAAACATTAACATGACATTCATTTCCAACATCAAACGTGCCTGTATAACGATGATATACAATATGCATGATCACATGCCTTTTTGAGCCTATCCTTATGTGATTTAAACACTGAGGTATTTCTGGGGCTTATGTAAATCTACTTGACAAAATATCAACTTTAAACTGATTTCATTCTGGTTCAGTATTCACCTTATTTTTAACGTAAGATCGGATGCAGCCATTTGTAACTTGAATGTGCATTGCTTCCATTGTTATGCTTTCAGCTGTCCATTTTGCTGCTTGATATTAAAAACGGGCATTTCTTATCATAATATTTTAATGTATTGTTGTAATTATAAACACACTAGTTTGTAGAGCAAATAGTTTTACTGTTTACTGCATTTTTGTTGTTCTTATAGTTATTTTCCAATTGGGCTTATCAGAAGTCTCGCACATTCACAGAAAACAGCTAACTTCTGTGTTGAAAAATAATGTGGATACCATGTTAGTAAAAGAAGAAAACGTGCACATACAATCAACATTTTTATCCAATAGTTCACCCGTGAAAATTTACCCTCATGTCATTCTTTCTTTCAGGAATACAAAAGGAGATATTTTGCAGAATGATCATGCTGCTCTTTTCCATATACTGAAAACATGACCACTGACTGTCAAGCTTCTTAAAGGACAAAAACGTTTCAGAAAAGTGGTCCATACGACATGTGCATTATATTCAAGGTCCGACGTTTTTGGAAGGTCATGAGGGTGAGTAAATGATGACGAACCAGTCATATTTCTAAGGAAAAAATGATGTGTTTTGGATTAATGATGTTTCCCAAAGCACAACACATGGCAAAAACACAACACTCTACAGTATTATGGGCTGAGAGAGCCACCTGTCTGGTACAGTTTGAAACGCCTCCAAACCATCTTCTCTCCCTCTCACTTCCCGTATGAACATCTGTGGTGCAGCTGGGATGATGTACTTTGGTGTATGCGTCATGTTTTTATCTCCAACAAATATTCTCATGATCTGTTCAGTGACCATAAACAATTCATTTGCTAGAAAACAAGCTTTTACAAGCTTGAGATGAGCTCTAATCCACAAATGATCATCTCAATGTAGGGAGGCCATTGATTGACTTTAGAAGACTACTATTAATATTTAATGTAGCCTTGTAAGTTCAGTTATGGGTATTGAAGAGTTGTAGGTAGTAGAATAGACAAATTTGTTCCATTTTATGGAAATTTTCCAAAATGTCTTGGCATGTATACATGCCCTAAACATGGCATGTATATTAAACTTGGATTGCTAGCATATACTTCTAATCACAATGTTCTGCAGGGATATTAAAGAAAATGTAGAAGAAATCAATAGTTTAGAAGCGAATTCAACTTTACATCTATAAGTTAACAGAATACTCTCAAGATCTATATCTAATAAGATTTTATCCGATATGTACTAGAAAACAAAACAATTTCTGTGGGTTTTTTGTCCATGTCTGTTAGCTTTGAGGCTAAGGCTAATGCATATGTAGTCCTAAAATTTAACAAATCTTTAGCAGATATGTACATTTGCAATTTACAGTCTTTCTCGTTCAGTAAACAACCCAAAATATTGATCAGTAAACCTTTTTTTTTTTTTTTTTTGTCTGTTGAAATGCGCTCTAGGATGATACTGTCCCATTTGGTAATACTTCACTAGCACTAGCAAGCAGAAATAAATGTTCATGGCTGTAATGTAAACTAAAGGCTGTTAAAAAGGGACGAGCCCCTCCATATGTCTCGCCCCAAATGCAATTTGTTTCAATAGGAAATACATCAACACAGGAAAAAAAAAACTGTCCTCATCAAGCCATTTCATTGGGTCTTGAAGGACTTTGTATTAACTTCATGGTTTGCTCTGAAATGCCACATTCACATAAAATAACAATACTACCGTATGACATGGCATTTTGTATTATGCTGCTTGAAACAAATTGGCTTGAGTGCCTGTGTGTGAGGATGTCTCCGAGTCCTCTGTTCTGGGCGTTCGTGTATATAAGACTGCTGTACAGGAAGCACCTGAGATGCTTTGATCTTGAAGAACCACAATTGAGGTTCATAACAGAGGAATCTTCTCCAGCATTCTCCTCCTTTATTTTCCACTCGAGTTCTCTCCTGATGCATGTCTTTTTTTCCTTTTCATCATCTCTCCATCCATTTCCTTTGTTCATGTTTCGACTCTATTCCTCTTGTAAGTGGTTTCGGCGGTTCCTGCTCTTCCTGTGGTCCAGCAAGGGTTTGAGTTTGCCCAGATCACCTCTCATGGGGTTCTGCACATTCACATAAAATAACAATACTACCGTATGACATGGCATTTTGTATTATGCTGCTTGAAACAAATTGGCTTGAGTGCCTGTGTGTGAGGATGTCTCCGAGTCCTCTGCTCTGGGCGTTCGTGTATATAAGACTGCTGTACAGGAAGCACCTGAGATGCTTTGATCTTGAAGAACCACAATTGAGGTTCATAACAGAGGAATCTTCTCCAGCATTCTCCTCCTTTATTTTCCACTCGAGTTCTCTCCTGATGCATGTCTTTTTTTCCTTTTCATCATCTCTCCATCCATTTCCTTTGTTCATGTTTCGACTCTATTCCTCTTGTAAGTGGTTTCGGCGGTTCCTGCTCTTCCTGTGGTCCAGCAAGGGTTTGAGTTTGCCCAGATCACCTCTCATGGGGTTCTGTATGTTCTGCAGACTCTGCATCTGTTTGCGTTCCTTGCAGTATTGGTGCATGGCCAACGTCTCAGCCGGGCTGAAGGCTGACACCAGGGCTTTAGGGTGCAGTGAGGCTGCCCAGCCCCAGGGAGACTGTTTGTTGCTCAGAGCGCTGACCAGAGCTTCGCTCAGAATCTGGAGACTGATTTTAGCAAGTGTGCGCTTGAAGCCATTCTCTGTGGCCAGGCAGTAATACACACCCTGATCTGAGGAATGCACTGAACGGATGAGCAAGCCGTGATTGGTGGACACCACACGATCGCTCAGCTTCACCTGCACACAGAGAAAAGAATGACCCGTGAATGTGTAACTTTTAAATTCTTATTGAATATAAAAATACATAAAAAAAAAAAAGCTTTCAAGATAAGGTTGTGATCCTTTTGGGTAGGGACATGTTTGTTTTGGTGATCAAAAGACTATTTTTGCAATGGAATAAACTCTATAAAGGGGGTTTCTTCCATTTAGAATGTACAAATTGTAAATGTTTATTCTTTATTAATTTAGAATAATGTAGTCATATATACTACTTAGGGGTGGGTGATATACCGGTAGGAATTTGTCAACTGGTAGAGATTTTGGACTATCGTCTCTATTGTGGTTACATGCTTTCGTGCTATGAAAACTTGTTTGCACACTTTTTAAGCATTGCTGTTTAAAAACGAGTGATTTTTAAGCTGTTGAAACCCAATCAACAGCGAAAGAGAACTCATTTTGCTATATGCTGTCTGAGAGACTGTTTCTGATCATTGTCAGAGAGGTGCACGCATGTGAAGACGGTGCTCATAGAGATATTTTTGCCGCTTTATAGGGCTTGAACTATTAAATACACACATTTGTATGTGTCAAAATGCCTGTCTTTGCAAGTATCCTCGTAAATACAGTAATTTAGATTTTGTGAAAGCAAACAGCTAAGAAAGAAAACATGTGTTTAGCAGTATATTGGATCCGGGCAGCTCTTAAACTGACAGCAGTCTAATATTCCTGCTGTCTGTCATTCATATTAATCAAACAACAATATAGAGAAAATCTCTAACTGCTGTTGACTAAATCACTTTTGTAACTTTTAATAAGAAAAAAATATATATTTAATCTACACGGTGAAGAATATGCAGTGTTTTTATACATTTGATTACTTTATACAATGTACATGTAGCATTTCTTATTTATTTGTTCTACTGTAGTTTTTTTTTTGTCCTTTTGCTTTTAATTAGTTTCTTATTTTTTTTTAATCGCTGACTGTTTACTTGTGTTCGGTGAGCTTGAGGTTGTTTTTTTTAAAATATAGGCTAGTGTTAGTTTTTTGTGATGTTGACACTGGTGACAAGAATTATGAAATTTCTATGGTATCAAACATTTTGATATCATAAAGACCTTATTTAAAGCAAAAATAACTGTATTGTGATATACTGTATATATCGTTACTGTGAAATAAAATTGCTTATATCGTGATATAAAATTTTTGTCATATCGCCCACCTCTAATACTACTACTACTTTTATATATTTTTAAATAATTAAATAATAATAATAATAATAAAGAACAATTCATTTTTTATTATTATATAATTGTTTATAAATGTAATAATTATATTTGCATAAAATATACATTTATAACATCTAAGTATGGGAGATCATGTTTTATATAATATTAGCTCTTATGTTATCTATTGCATATTGTCTTTATTCTTTATTTATTTTTTTAATTGTAAGCCAGACCTTTACAAGACAAAGAAGTTTTGAGCATGCCTGTGCATCTATTGTTTTCTTACCATTGACCGTTTAGGAGGAGTCAGTCTGTTTGATGATTACAAACACGATGATATTTCATTGAAATGAAATATCGATAGCCTGGAGCAATGTACTGTGCATTGGCTGTTGAGGATGAGGGTTTAATGTTGTGTCATTTTGGACAGGGTTGTCTGACCTCTTTCCTGCGATCGTTGTCTCTCTGAATGAGCCATTTAACTGAGGCCTGGGGAGATTTGGGCTGACACTCCAGGAAGGTGGTGTTGTTTTTTACTCCATACTGAGTCATCTCCACTGCATTCCTGTAGGCTGAAACAAGACGTGAAGCGTTAGCCAAAGCTCTCGAACACTTAGCGCATACTAATTGTAATTGTACTGCCATAATTCAGCTGACACGCTAACATCTGCGGATGAGGGTCACGATGGGGTTCAAGTTCACGGAGTATGCAGTAAAATATACTCTGAAGAGTAGTGGGCCACATTAGTGTGTAATTTGATAAGTGACCCTGTACACTGGCCAATGATGTCATACATTCAACATCTGTTTTGACATTGTGCTACTTTTGTTTAGTGCATTCAGCTGGGAAAACGCTTCCACTCATCGTTAAGATTGCTTTTTAATAATTCTGATGCATCTGAAGTGTTGAACTGAGTCATCTGGATCGCTGACAGTATCTGTGCCAATTGTATTCAAATTAACAGGTGTTTTGGTCCCATGACAGATTCTTTCACAAGGAGAGAGAGAATCAGACAAACATAAGAGAAAGAAGGAAACGAGTGGTGGAAGAAGAGAAAGAGAAAGGTGTGAGGCTGCATGTCAGTTAGCATTAAAGTTATGCATCAAAAGTATGTATTTCATTAGGAAAATTGTATGGGTATAAAAATACTATGCTAGTATTGGAAAACTATGTCAACATGCCATAAAATGACTTTGATGCATGAGCATTTTAGCATTAGCATTGCGTTTATGTTAGAATTAGCATAATTACAAGATGACAACTTGGTGATTCTACTCTGAGCAGTTCGAAATTATTAGTTTCTATGACAATGTTCATAACGCCAAAATGGATCCATTTGGGGCTATGTTGTTGATGAATAAAATACTTAGTCACTAGATTGATTCAGCTCTAGATGGTATTGCAAATGATTATTTGTGTCCCAACCAGAAGTGACTTAGTTCCTAGCAACACACAATTCGTCCTTGCAATTAGAAAGCAAAAATGCAGCACGATGTGGCAAAGCCAGTAATTTCATTAGGAATCCATGTGATCAGGATTTCTGCGTAAGAATGAACTGGTTTAAGTCGATCTCGCAGATTCACTGTGCTAACTAACAAAAAGTTGGTTTGGTTTGAAAGTGACATTGTGTGAATGCTGATTCATACAACACTTCACTGTTGAAAATGGACTGTTTTTGCTGACAATTTTGCTGATGTGTCTGTTGACGCTTTTTACATGATGTTGAGTTTTCATTAAAGTTCACCCAAAAATATAAATTCTGTCATTAATTACTCACCCTCATGTCGTTCTAAACCCTTTATTGTTGTTAAGATTGTTGTTGCTATCTAAGACCTTTGTTCATCTTCTGAACACAAATTAAGATATTTTTGATGAAATCCGAGAGCTTTCTGACCCTCCAGACAGCAATGCAACTGACACGTTCAAGGCCCAGAAAGGTAGTAAAGACATCATTAAAATAGTCCATCTGTGGTTCAACCTTAATTTTATGAAGCTACGAGAATAATTTTTGTGCGCAGAGAAAACAAAAATAAGTTTATTCAACAACTTCTCTTTCGGGTTTGGAACAACATGCGGGTGAGTAATTAATGACAGCATTTTCATTTTTAGGTGAACTGTCCCTTTAAAGTTTCATGAGTTTTCAACTTGCAATTATGCGTTTAACCAAATGAAGCTGCAGTTATAAGAAAAAGCAGCATTATTGTCAACTATTGTCAGAAATGGATGCAGTTTTGAAATACAGAGAGAAAAAAAAAATAGTTGCATTTACGAGAAAAAGTTGCAGTTACAAGAAACAAAGGCGCAATTGTGAGATATAAAGTCTCATTATGATATATAAAGTCACAATGACTTTCTATCAAATAAATGGAAACCGGATTTTCAAACTGCCTGTCACAAAACTGCTTACTGAAAACTTAAATTCTTGTCTCCGCACATAACTTTAGGACTTTATTTGCCTAGCCCAAGTGTTGACATGCAGGTAGTCATTACCTTTTAGATTGAACCCTCTGCACTGAGTCAGTGGATTCCCATGCATAATATCCTGCCTTCTGCTTCTCCTGGAAAAACATTTACATAGGATTAATCCAACAGATTTTCATATATGCATTCTTTCCTTTCACTCTTACATTCTCTCACTGCCTGAATGTTTGCACAATATTCTTTTTATAAAACACATTCCTTGTCATGAAAGTCAAATTTTAGCTTAATTTCTCATAATTAACATGATTCGGCTGTCAGAAGTGCAGTGAAATGAAATGTCTATTTTTCCACTTCAGTACTCCGGAATGGATGTTTTGATGGCTGTGCCTTCCATCAATTATTGTTGTTAAGATTGTTGTTGCTATCTAAGACCTTTGTTCATCTTCTGAACACAAATTAAGATATTTTTGATGAAATCCGAGAGCTTTCTGACCCTCCAGACAGCAATGCAACTGACACGTTCAAGGCCCAGAAAGGTAGTAAAGACATCATTAAAATAGTCCATCTGTGGTTCAACCTTAATTTTATGAAGCTACGAGAATAATTTTTGTGCGCAGAGAAAACAAAAATAAGTTTATTCAACAACTTCTCTTTCGGGTTTGGAACAACATGCGGGTGAGTAATTAATGACAGCATTTTCATTTTTAGGTGAACTGTCCCTTTAAAGTTTCATGAGTTTTCAACTTGCAATTATGCGTTTAACCAAATGAAGCTGCAGTTATAAGAAAAAGCAGCATTATTGTCAACTATTGTCAGAAATGGATGCAGTTTTGAAATACAGAGAGAAAAAAAAAATAGTTGCATTTACGAGAAAAAGTTGCAGTTACAAGAAACAAAGGCGCAATTGTGAGATATAAAGTCTCATTATGATATATAAAGTCACAATGACTTTCTATCAAATAAATGGAAACCGGATTTTCAAACTGCCTGTCACAAAACTGCTTACTGAAAACTTAAATTCTTGTCTCCGCACATAACTTTAGGACTTTATTTGCCTAGCCCAAGTGTTGACATGCAGGTAGTCATTACCTTTTAGATTGAACCCTCTGCACTGAGTCAGTGGATTCCCATGCATAATATCCTGCCTTCTGCTTCTCCTGGAAAAACATTTACATAGGATTAATCCAACAGATTTTCATATATGCATTCTTTCCTTTCACTCTTACATTCTCTCACTGCCTGAATGTTTGCACAATATTCTTTTTATAAAACACATTCCTTGTCATGAAAGTCAAATTTTAGCTTAATTTCTCATAATTAACATGATTCGGCTGTCAGAAGTGCAGTGAAATGAAATGTCTATTTTTCCACTTCAGTACTCCGGAATGGATGTTTTGATGGCTGTGCCTTCCATCAATATTTTCCGTACTCAATACATCTGGCATCAAGAAAAACTGTTTGGCTAAGGTATCAGATTAACATGTCCCGTTCTGAAACAAGCCACAGTGTAAATACTTATGAATATGTAATATGTGGACTGTTCCGTTTGAGTGACAAGCTGTATGTGTGCAGTCTGAGTTACGAAGACTGGATGGTTTCTGAAGTGTTGCCACACAGTTGCCAAAGTGTTCTGAGTGACTTTTACTGCATGTGTTTTATGGTAGTTGCTTATTGGCCCAATTCAGAAATGCACACCCTCAAGTCTCTGATATTCTAGTCCCTCGATATGTTTCATTGTTTGCCAGGAAAATCTTAGGCCAGAACTCTTTAAAATGTAATAGTGACAAAATGAATTTTAATATTTAGGGTTAGGGTTTTGTACAAATTCCACGAATAATCTTTCAACCCAGACTGTGTGTCTCTGCTTTGACTAAATGAAACCAAAGCTGTGTCTCATCATTTATTTCTGCCCCACTGCTGCTGCAGTTTATGCCACCCTGAGTATTCGTGTGTGTGTGTGTGTGTGTGTGTGTACCTCTTGCCAGTGGGGTAATGGATTTTTTTTTTCCATGTGTCTGTTGGTAGCGGGTTTCATTTCATTTTCATGATTTTTATCATTTTATCTTTTTCTTTTTTCAAAATATTCAAAATTCTATTTCATAATTTCTTTTTCTGTGGCAGTGCATCAAGATTGTTACATGACACTTCTTAGTCACAATAACACTGTAAATGACTGATGTTATGGTTTTAGTCCAAGTATTCATAAGCTTGTTAACTAGATTGTGAAATATGTGGTATTCCTATTCTCACATAAGTGTGAGAAATATAAGTAAATAGAATTTGTGCTTTAAACTCCTTATAATGATTGTTAGTTGAACGTCTATAGATGCCATAATGTTTGTTTGTATTGCAACTCCAAAAATGGCAATGTCAAATGGTATAACCCCCTGGAAAATTTCATGGTATTCATGACTCAAAAATTCATAATGTTTGTAAAAACATAAATGTTAACTTTTGGAGGGAAAATGTGATTACTTTTCACTTGATAGTTACACCATTTGACAATTTTACAAATATGACATTTCTGAAAGCTGGGCATAAGTTTTAAACTACATTTTTAAAAAGATTTAGCTTTTCATTATAATGGACATCCTTAGCCTATTTGCCATTTGAATCAATCAAACGAAACCACAATTTAAAAAGAGAAATCGCCTATTTAGGGTGGTTTTGAGTTTTTATGTGCAAATTTGTGAGCGTGTGTTCAGATGCCAAATTAAACATCCCACTGAGCTGTGTGTGTGGCATTTCATGGTCCATGAATTGATTCATTATGCCTAAACCTATTTTTGACAATTTCAAGCCACTCAAAGCAGATCATAAGAAACCTCACAGAGTAACCTTTTCCTCACCTCATGCCCAGTCTTTGTTCCCATTAAAAATCTGCCTTCCTTTAGAACAACATTGAGTTTTAATAAACGCTTTGTGGCACTGCCAGCTCTGCTCCTCTAGATACTTTGATGTGTGATGTGTGGCGAGAACTCAGACCTTAAACACTTCCAGCTCCTCCAGGATTAGATCCTCATCCAGAGAGCCGTTTGACGGCAGAACCACGACCTTCTGTACCGTGCCTTTATCTGTGAGCAGAATACCAGAACATCAGGAGAGCATTGGACAGTCTGGAAAGCAAAAACAACCTTGATAATGTGGTCTGGGTTTGAACTGCTTATGAACTTTCCATTGTTCTCAGATTTTCTCTTTGAAATCTTTTAGCTTGTGTGTGTGTGTGTGTGTGTATCTGGGTTGGTTTATGATGTTGTTGAGCATCTATCTGTTCTGAGAAACAGATCTGCAAACTAGACTTCAGAGGAAAATGTGTGGTTGCCAAGGTGTTCTGGGTGGTTGCTAGGTGGTTTTCACGTCAAAAGAGCCCACCCTCTAGTCCCTAGATATGGCCCGTGGCCCTACTTCCATGTAAGTCTAAGCATTGGGGTTTTTCTTACCATCTGCCTGGTGGAAATTATTGGATATCTTCGACTGTAGAAACATTTTGAGTGATGAGTTTGATGCCATAAGCAGCTTATGAACATTAAATGTCAAGCTCATCCATTCTGTGAGGTCATGATAGGTGTGTATATTTTGCTCCAGATCCTCAGAGAGAAGGACGATGGAGAATTCAGCTCAAACTCTGGAAATTCCCATTTTAAATAGCCAACATTTCTAGACGAAACCCTGCCAAGGAGCAGGCAGGCCATTCCGCACAATGCTCCTGGCTTTCCATCAGGAATTTTGATAGGCAAATACAAACAGCTGTGATTTTGAATTCTCTCCAAATGTCCCTATCCCCATTCCCTAGTAACCGCTGAGCCTGTCTGCTGTCGTGTCTCTGATTCTGTTCTCCGATAAACACACACTCACACACGCTTTCTTTCATTCTTCCATTGCCATCACAAAAGTTAATACCGTGTCTTGTGCTGTGACACAGCAGGAATAATAAACATCTATCTCTCTTCTGTATCAGTTAAATGAAAGATATTATGTTAAAAATGATGAGATGATCATATTTGTGCAGCTTGTGTAGACTCTCTGCCCCCTAGTGGTGGTCAGTGGCAAACAGATTTATGTCTCTGGATGTGTTGTTATATTTCTGTAAGGAATGGAATGGTATAGAATAGCTATTTTTAAAATTAAATAAAATGTTATATTATAGTATTGAATATACTTTACAGCAGTGAAAAGCATTTCCCACAATATTTCTGCTTGTGACAGCTAAAGAAAAATTTTAAGAAATGTAATTTCTTGTATGTATTTTTAAGCATTATAATTAAGTTACTGTTCAAATAAAAATACTATAATTACTAAATAATAATAATAACAATATGAATATGAATTGTTTATGGAAGCCTGTTCCCGCCACTGAATTAAAATTGTGACTTTTTATCTCACAATTCTGACTTTCTCGCAATTGTGAGTTTGCATATCGCAATTCTGACACTTTTTCTCAGAATTCCATGATACAAATCAGCAATTCTGACTTTTTCTTTCAGAACTGCATGATATAAACTTTATAAACCATTCTGAGAAATAAAGTTAGAATTGTGAGATATAAGCTTATAAATCTGAGAAAATATCAGTCTTTCCTCTCAGAATTGGACTTTCTAACTCACAATTGTGAGTTAATATTTCACAATTCTGAGAAAAAAAGTCAGAATTGCAAGACATAAACTCGCAATTGTGAGAAAAAAGTCAGAACCGCGAGTTTATATCTTGCAATTCTCACTTGATTTCTCACAATTGCAAGTTTATATAACGCAATTCTGAGGAAAAAAGTCAGAATTGTGAGTTCATATCCTGCAAATTGTGACTTTTTATATCTTGCAATTGTGAGTTTATATCACGCAATTCTAACTTAATTTCTCAGAATTGCACGTTTGTATCACGCAATTGTGAGGGGGAAAAAAGCCAGAATTGTGAGAAGTTATTATAAAGCAATTACCTTTTTTAGTTTTTATTCAGTGGCAGAAATGGGCTTCCATAGAATTGTACTAAAATATTCAAATTCAAATATTGTTAAGTCATCCTGTGGCCCCCTTGAAAGTTTGAAGTTTGTTGGATCCTGGCCCCCTGGTTGAGAATCACTGCTTTAAAATATATAGTATAGTATAGAATTTTTTAGTATAGGGAAAATGGGACATGTTGCAGGCCAGATTCAAGCCTGAATCACCCACCAAAGCTCAATGTTTCATGAGCATGTAAGCTAACTGCTGCAACATGTCTCCTAAAACGCTCGTTTTAAAAGTAATTGGAAAAACAGATGAATATAAGATTACATTTATATGGTATTTTATATAAAATTATAAGGAACGTGGCTCTGGTATGTTTTGTATAATGTAAACTGTATGATATGGTATGAAGCAGTATAACAAAGTTGAGTGCGTGCTTACTGCCATAATTTATTAAAGTACAGTATAATTTTAAAGTATGAAGTATAATTTAACTGACAAATCACTTTCAGTAAAATGTTATCAGTCAGGAAAACAAATTCCAGCTTTTCTGCCTTTCTCATTTTTAGGTGGAAAAAGCTATTTAGTCTGTTGAAAAGGTTAACAAGCAGTCAAGCAAAGTTAAGTGTGCTAGTTCCTTCCACAAACAGATTACATGAGGTAGTTGTTGAAATATATTGTGGGACATTTGAACTGTTTTTCATCTGGTGGTTGTAACTCGGAGTAGGTTAATTTTTCGAATGGTCATTTATTTTTCTTAAAGGGATAGTTCACCCAAAAATGAAAATTGGATGTTTATCTGCTTGCCCCCAGGGCATCCAAGATGTAGGTGCTCAGTAAAACACAAACTAAGATTTTTAACTCAAAACGTTGCAGTCTGTCAGTCTTGTCATACTGTGGGGTTTTACCTGTGCCCAGGAATAGAACCTGGTAGTGTCCGTCCACAGCAGTGACCTGGTCCACAGCTATAGAGGTGTATTTGTAATCGGCATGTGTCCGCACCACCAGAGGTTTCCTGCCGACCGGGTAGATGGGGTTAAACATGACGGGGTGATTCCTCACGAACGTCACCACATCATCTGGAAACTCTTTAGTACTCTGGATATGAGGGGTGAACGCACCACCAGGACACTGACAGGAAGAGGATAAAAATTTAAAGCTTAGACAATCATGCTGTAGATTATGAAAGCTTTATCACTTCAATTGGGTCTTTTTGTCATTCAGACTCATTAGTGAGTCTTTGTCTCATGTGAGTGTACGTCATTTTAAAAGTTCCCCCAAAAATGTAAAAGTCCAAGCATTCTTGATTTAAGTGGGGAATAAACCCTTTGTGTCTCTTTAACATTACGCTGGACACACACATAATAATAATTTAGTATTACGTTAATAAAATAACATCATTCTATATGTTTATCATAGAAAAATATTATTAAAGATTCTCATCTCATCATTTATCTGATAAATAAATGACCATAAAATATAGGCCCTTCCAACAGAGGATAGACCAGAAATCAAACCTACAAATTTCATGTACATACTCAACTGAAAAAAAAAATGCTATATTAAAATAGTATTGTTATATATTATTTTATAGTCAATTGTTATTGTAAAAGTATCATATCTAAAAATATATCTATAAAAATAAATGACCATAAGTAGGGATATGCCGGTATCAAATTTTCATGTTGCGGTTAATTGCTAATGCTTTTCGCTTCAGGTCCGCGCTTGTTTACATCAGAGTGCGCACGCCTCTTTCACGCAGCATACAGCGCTGTTGTGCATTTTGACCAGTTGATGGGAAAAGTATTCTTAAAATTCATTCAAAATTCGGAATAATTTGTAATATATAATTATTCACGGTATTTAGAAGTGCCCACGATAACAATATCGTGCATATTCATTACCGTGATATATGTATTACCGAATACCGGCACAAGTCTAACCATAAGATACAAGTTATTCTGATAATCCAGAACAGAAATCAAATCTACAAATTTCATGTAATTAAAAAAATACAAAAATGTTATTAAATTATTTAGAAATAGCAATATATGAAATATTTATATTTATAAACAGTAGTATAGTAATATTCTATATTATATTATTATAGTAAAATATTGTTAGAAATGATCACATATGCATAAAAAATAAATTACCTTAAATTATTAGCTTTTGTAACAGAGGATTGACCAGAAATCAAGTGTGCAAATGGTAAAATATTATTAAAAGGTATCACAAAAATGACTTTGAAATATAAGCCTCACGGAGGACAGACCAGAAATCAAATCTCCTAATTTCATGTATAAACTAAAAATAAGATTATGATGATGATTATTTCGGCAAACATTCCTCACCTACAATTATTTGCCTTTTCAACTAAACTGTGTAAATCGCAGATATTTAATGGTATAATAAACAGAGTGACTGTACCAAGGCAGGACATGAATGTGTGTGACTCACAGTTCCCGGTCGTGGGTATGGGATCCGGCCCTGGAAAGCCACCCACTGGAAGTTGGGTCCTTCCCTGTGCGCAAACGGTCCATTGAAGACCGTCAGGATGTCGGCCATGTTGTACACACAGACAGCAGAACCTCTGAACACAGAACTGGATGGAATAAAACAAAACACAGCTATTTAACATGAAGCAAGTCAGACGGTAAAAGACAGTCTTGCACATCCTTCCTAAGCATTTGGATGGAAGGGATGATGTAACATGGTTACACTGGAGACTCAATCCACAGAGAGAAAAATGCCACATAAAGGAAAGGCGACACCGCTTTAGTTACACTCTGGGATGAAGTGTGGTTTGGCTGGACATCCTAGATTTTGATCAGACAGCAAGACAAAGAATTTCTTTGTTTGATCGCAAAACAAAGGGAAAGAGACATGTGATGATAAATAACAGAGCAGGGCATGGACAAAGAAGCTGTCGCTGTTTGGATTGGTCTCATTAAGAAAACCACACAGATTTAACGTGGTTGGAGAATGAACCACAGCTCGGAAACCTTGACCGAAATCTCACCTCATTAAACCACAACTCACGTACACACACGCCCCAACATACACTCATTCAAACCCACCATAACAAACATAATGAAATGACCCAGAGCAAATGAGACCTCATATCTGAACTCTTTCGCTTAAACAATGAGATAATAAATGAAGACCACTGGCTTCTCAGATCTTTCTCTTGAGGAAGGAAAAAAAAAACAACTCTTGAGTTTTTGAAGACATTTCAACGTCTTAAACTGTGCTACAATCAAATGAACATTTCTTATTCAGTACTTCAAAAGTTAAATGATTAGAGTTATGCTTGTTGGTAGTGTCAAAAGGTGCTGTTACTTTATTATAATTTTTTAAAGGGACATTTGCTCCCTATAATTGATTTTCAGGGGCACTTTTGACCTTTCTCGCCACCCCCCCTAAATATATAGAAATACAGTCTGCCGTATTTTTTGTGCTAAATACTTCAACCCCAAAGTATAGAATGTATTTTTAATAAAGATTTTATAAAAATAATTTAATATGTATAAAAATTAGAAATCAGAAATAAATTGATATATTTTAGAATTAATACATGTTTACCATATAGAATATTTACAAACATTTAACAAATAATATAGTATATAGAAAGAATATATGAAATAAATTAATGATATGTATTATATAAGAGTATAATATTTTTTTTTAACTCATAATAATAGGTAAAATATTACAATTTTATTAAATGTAATAAATAGATTTGAATGTAGTATATAGATGATGCAAATATAGATTATATACAAATATAATTTTTTTCAATTCATACAAATTAATTCTTTGCCACTAGGTGTCGCTTTTGGAGCGGTAAAAATAGCGGTTTCCCCAGTAAGGCTGGCTACACACTAGACTATTGTAAGGCGATTTTAAGACCGATTTGCATCCCCGAACGATCGGGGGGTGTGGCCCGATTCGCAGCTTGTCGCAAACGATTTTTTGTCCAAAAATCCTCTATTGTGTGGTGTCATTACGATTATTTATCTGCTCCCGATCGAGACGGAGCATCCCCGAACTCAAATCGTAAATATCAAACAAAATAAGTCAAATTTTATTACAAAACATGTTTGATATTTACGACTCTTGATCAGGCTGCCTCTGACGTGATACCCGCGATAGCCAATGAGAGCGAGCAAGTGTCACCTACCGGATGTTGCGTGCTTCTATAGCTGAAACTCGGCAGCCACAAACATGCCATGAAAGCAGAGAACATCACCCATATTCTTTGTTATACTTTGTTTTTCACTGAAACAGAACGTGCACCGGGAGAGCCAGCTGACCACCGTTGATTGTCCTCTATTTGTTTTTCTTCTCTAGTCACGTTTGATCTTGTGTCCGTGAGATCACGTGTCACTGTGAAATTGTTCCTACAATCGACAAGTGTGTGGTCTCGTGGTCTGATCGAATCATCGTGTGTGCGTTCAGAGGATTATAAGGCTAAAAATCGGTTGTACTGTCTTTGTCTGTGGTCTCCCATGGTTTTAAAATAGTTTAAGATTTGAAAATCGCCTAATGTGCGGCCAGCCTAACGCTGTACACTAAGCAGCACTGTGCTCACAAACGCTGCTTTATCAGGCACTACAGGCATGATGAAATGAAAATGAGACTAGAGGTCTGCGTGAGAATTTTTTTTTGTCCCGCTCCCGCAAGGTAATATTCTTCACCCGCCTGCTCCCGCTATATATTCACTCTTTGTTCACCCGCTGTCCGCTTAGAATAATTTTCTTCCCGACCCGACCGTTCTCGCTAAATTTAGAGTTTGTTTCCAGAATCTCACATTTAAATTTCCGCTACTGAAAGAAAGAGAGAGACTGACCAATAAAAGTGTAGTCTGCACAAAATTGTATGTTATTTTATTCGTCTTGTCAAGAGTCTTGAATTTATTGACTTTAACTTGAATTTACATTAATTATCTTGAGACACAATTTGTTTAATATTTTAACACAGGAAAAAAGTGTCAGAGAAAATAAAAATGTTGTACAAAAATTGTAGGCTATTTCTTATTTTTATTCAATTCGTTTAACATTTACAACACAATAGGAAAAAGTGTCGCAGAGAGAAAAAAATAAAAGTGTAGGTTGTACAAAAATAGCCTATTAGCTATTTTTATTCGTCTTGTGAAAATACTAAATTCGTACAAAATATAAACGAAACCGAGTTGAACGTCCTTCAAGGACAGCGCATCCACACTTTGCTCCATCCTTATTCTGCTCTGTCACTCTCTTGCTGCATGACAGACCAATTTCAATCATTCAGCGAGACCACACAGATGTCTGTGTTTCATCACAGTGAAAAGCTGTTGGTTGAACTAAGATTAGATATTTGTAAAGGAGTGACCGTTCCCTTCCTTTACCGCCTTCAGGTGTGATCACATTTTCCCAGAAACCCTGTCATCCCCTCAGCTCCAACCCTTTCTGACCTATATTTGGCAAATACACACGCAAATCATGCGCACGCATATATACACACATTAGCGGCAAGCTCAATATTGCTATTGGCTTTACCTTGTAGAGGTGAAAACTCCAAAGATGAGGAGGCCCTTTGGGTGGTCCGTCTCCAATAAAAACACATTCTCTGGAAGGAAAGAGACAAACACTCACTCAGTAGCTGAACATCTGTCCCACAACATTGTTACATGGTTCTAGTTTGGCCTAACAAGAATAAAACAGGTGAACGCGTGTAAATTCATCACAGGCTTTAACTCTCCAGTGTAAACGGTTTGTTCTGAGTGTTTTATGATCGTAAAAGAATTTTAATGAGGTGAAAAGCTTTACAAATCACCTAGGGCTGTTGATGAATACTGACAAACACCAAAATGGCTGGTTTATGGTTAATGACCAGTAATTATAGAAAGCTGTTTAACTATAATGTGAATGAAATTTGTAAGGCGAAGGAGTGTTTTGGGTTAATTACAGGTTAAGAAGTAACAACACCATATCTAATTAGGGTACAATGGGGTTAAAGGCCCCTTGGGATTTTTTTCTAGTCCTAAAATATATGGCAATCAAATAAATATTTTTACTGAATCTTTTTACTGAATACAAATACATAAAATATATACATTATATAAAAATCAACGTTTGTTTAAAAGAAATTAGTTTTTATTTAAACAATTTAAATATAAAGGCAGCCTTAATATCGACAACCAGGGGACTTGATTTTTGTGGTAAACATTGTCAAAATATTTGAAGTGAACTTTCGACAACTTTATTTTAAGGTGTCCTTATTACACGTTACATGTACTTACTATTATAATAACAATAAATTACGCATAATTACATGCAAGTAACCCTAAACCAAACCCTAACCATATAGTAAGTACATGTAGTTAATTAATATTACTCAGTACTTAAATGTACAATTACACTGTAACAAGGACACCTTAAAATAAAGTGTAACCGTACTTTCTTTTTGTTTGCATTTAAAGTTTTCAAAATCATATTTATTGTATGTGGAAATCGACAGCATGTCCTAGATGTCCATATATCTTCACTTTATTGAAACTAAAACATTCCTTTAAGTAGAACCTGTGAGTCGTGTGTATTGTACCTACTTAACCTTATTTTGTGGACAACATATACCCAGAAGCAAGCTGAACTTGACAAAATCCCCCTAAACCTCTTTTGTAGACCTCCTAATTTGTAAAAACTGTATAAAAATCATTATTATTTTTTTTTATTGTGAAAATGCAGAAGGTTTTCTGTTAGGGTGTGGGTTAGATTTAGATTACAGTATTTGTAACTAGATGTACTATATATAACAATATATAACAATAGGAGTATATGCAATGTCCCCATTTACTGTAGATTTTGGTCTTCATGAGGAAAACAGCTTCTAAATCATATAGAATGACGTTTTTTATTTATTTTTTTAATCTAGAAAACAGCAGAAAGTTTTGTGTGAACTTTAGGGTAAGGGGATAGAAAATACAGTTTGTACAGTATAAAAACTATTGCGTCTATGGAATGTCCCCATAAAACATGGAAACTCAACATGAGTGTGTGTGTGTGTGTGTGTGCGTGTGAGTGGTCTCACCGAGCTCATCAAAGTGGGTCTCTGTACCGTCCTCCTCTAGAACCGAACATACCAGCCGAGCCTTCAGAAATGTGGTCCACTTGTTCACCAGACTGCGTTGACCACCAGTGTCATTCTAAATAGAATTTACAATGACTTAAAATAAATTATTAATACCGTTATATATTATACGGTTCATATTAATGATATTACTATTTAAAAAAGATTGAGATCGCACTTTATCAAATTCCTTTTAAAAAAATGTACCTCCCTGAACATGATTGCATAACTTGTAAACAGTGACAAATTGACATGATACTCAAGATACTCAAGCACACACACACAAACTTACAGGGCAGACTCGAGCCACCATAGCGTGGATGTTCTTAGTGTTTCCACTACTGTCTGTCAGTCTCTCACGCAGGAAGAAGTAAAGTTTGGCGTCGTTTGGGTCTGAGCCATCAGGAATCAAGTGTGCATCGATGAACACTGGCTCTAGTCAAATAGAAGAATAACTACAGCTCAAACACTTAATTTGCTCTACATCAACCACAAAAGAGAAATAAGTCGATTGTACTGTATCATTTCATGCCTAAAGAATAAAACATCTCTGCATGGTGCTAATGCCTAAGTTTAGATGAAACACAATACAGCTAGCTGCTGGCGAACTGAGTGAAGAAGATATATCTCACAGATCCAGACCAAATATGCGTTTCATTGTGTATATTTGGATTGTATCACACAAAAGATAATGTGACCTCTTGAGAAAACCGTTATGCATGTACAATATGTTTTTATTTTCCTGGTGGAATCATTGTAAACCGATATTGAGTCTATCCTGTCTTCAACTATTTCCTTTGACGTGGGCAAAGATGGTTTTTACTTTGTGGTTTGTGTATTATTTTACTGAAATGGCATGGAATGTGAACATGTAATTTAATGCTCCACATAAATAATTATTTGTAGCTTCAAGAAAACATTATGCACAATTTTCTGACAGAACAGTCATAATAATGTAGGTGGATCAAATAAAATGTAGGGTTTGTACCGCTCAGCCATTTGGAGTTATGTTGGTCCGTCCTCACTGCGTTCCTTGTGGTCAGGCTCCTGAAGATTGCCGCGTCTGTCCCCATGAAGTCAATGTACATGCCAGAGAACAGCTCCTGATCTAACCACAGACAGAAACAGAAACGTGTCCCACAGATTTTGCATGTTCAGTGAAAATCTTTTCACATTTTTACATTACATTACATTAGATTTAGTCATTTAGCAGACGCTTTTTATTGTGCTAGATGTGGATTTTATCTTCTCAGATGAATAGTAAGGTTGATGAATTAAACTAGGAATGACAATAGATTAAAATAATTTATCAGGATTAATTTTATGTAGATAATGTGATTTAATTGTGAATTTGATTTAACATTAAATTATATATTAATACTAGTGCTGTTAAACGATTAATCGCGATTAATCGCATCCAAAATAAAAGTTGTTGTTTACATAATATATGTATGTGTGCTGTGTATATTTATTATGTATATATAAATACACACACATGCATGTATATATTTCAGAAAAATGTTATGTTTATATATTAAATATATTTATTTATAATATAAATTACATGAATATAAATATAGATGTGAATACATGTAAATATTTTCAAAATATGGGTGTGTATTTATATGTACATAATAAATATACACAGAACACTCACATATATAATGCAAACAAAAACTTTTATTTTGTATGCGATTAATCGCGATTAATCATTTGACAGCACTAATTAATACCATATATTTCTCCTTTAAGTTTGAATAAATTCAGTTCCTCATTTTATATGTATTGATGTGGATGGCAATTAAATAAATAATAATTAAATAATAAAACTTTTCCGGAACTTCATGGACTGAATATTACATGTATAAAATGTTTTTGCTTTAACATTTCTATGATTTTGGAGCTTCAATAATATTGTAATTCAATATTCACTCTAAAATAGGAAGTATAAATGATTTCGCTTATGTTAAATGTCCTGTCTGGGGTTGATTTATGAATAAATTACCCATAAAAATATTACATTCTTCATCTTTTATTTTTCAACGATTGCTTGGCTATAGGGGCTTTTGTGTGTGTGTTCACCAATCTGTTCCAGTTGTGTTTTAATAATCTCACAGAACAGATCCAAACTGTTATGATGTAAAATCTAAGAAATGCATTAATGTAGTTTAAACGTTATTAAACATTTACTCATATGCGTTAACACTTTAACTTTGACAGCCCTGTTTAAAATGCATTTATTTTGTAAACCCACTGCATATAACGTATAAAAAATGGCTAAACATCTGTCTGTTAAATACGAGACCTATGGATTTATTGTGGCTATACATTTCTCTGCGGTGCGCTTTACTAATGACCTGCTCAAGTCTCCATTCCCCAAATCTCTCCTTCTTTTCATCAGTGCACTACTCTATCACTTCATCACTCCATATTGCTGGGCCCTGTGGTTGACGTGTGGCTAAGGGCCAAGTGTATGATGGAAATTGTCAGACGGACATCAGACTGAGAAAGCTGTAGGCTGTCATGTCAAGGACCGTCAGTCTTAGATGCCATCTAGACCGTTAGGAACTGTTCTACTTAATGGAATAACCACTTAACAGATGACTCAACGATGACCTATAACATATTATATTTAGGTGTGTGTGTGTGATTTTTGTAGGCGAGTATGTGTGACACATGCAATTAGTTCTCATGAGGTGTAAACTTGGAGATGATGGCATGTGTGTTTCAGGGTTATTATAGTTAATTAAAATTAAAACGTTAAAAAAAGAGATTGAAATAAACGATAAACTTTACATGAAATGCTAGTTGCTAAGGCAACATTTCTTGTTTTCATTTAGTTTAACATTGTACTAGAAGACCTAAACTAAAAATGAAATAAAAATGGATTAAAAAACTGTATACACATTTAAAAAATAATAATACATAATTAAAAAAAAAGGATAAAAATGGACAAAAAAACAACAACAATTTTGCAGACTTTTGCAAACTATAATAGTGTTTCAGTGATACTAAATAACACCGTTGTGTTAATGTTGCGGTTGTAATGGCTCTCTGGTGTGTGAAAGCATGAATGTGCGTGTAATTTAGCCCATTGGCTGTGTCAACAGCAACCCAACACCAGCTAGCCAATTACAGATCAAAGGATTAAGGAGGCGGCACTGAGTGACCCAAAGTTGTCACATCGGAAGGGGGCAGACAGCCACAAAATGTGGGTGTTTTTATGACACTATGGGGTCATGAACAAAGAGATCATAGAGAAAGTGTTATAGTACGTGTCCGAGACAAAACGGCACCTGTGGATAAAGACACAAAAGACAGCAGCACTTACTGAGCATGACTGAGATGGTGTTGACTTGTGGGTTAAACGAGCATCTTCCTTTCCCTGATTCTGCTCGGGAAGAGATTTGGAAGACTTGCTCCTGCCAATGACACCAAAAACACAAAATCTCTCATTTCACACAAACAAACTATTACTGTGATATCAACAATTTCAGATAAACCCGTCCCTAAATGGCACACAAAAACAAAACAGACTTAGTCCCTATATGTTGTTCTTTTAAGTGGGCGGTTCTTGCCCAGAATAAGCTGCAAAGTTGACTTTTTCTAATCAAATCATAGGCTTTATAAATATAAATGACTGACATATGCTCTCGTTATCGTTTTATCCCATTTACCATCATCAAATCTATTCTCAACTTTCAGCTTGATCCGGAATGTTTCACAGCCAATCTATATAAAAAGATTTCTGAGTAATTTCCTAGCACTCATTAGTGCAGTGGTTCTGGCTTTCTTCTGATTGGTTGGACAGACTTGCTCGAAGGCTTCCAGGTTTCCGACTATCAGACCAGTCTATCCTCTCCTTTGGTGTCATGATGTTGGCCAGTTACATGAAGTGAGAGAAACCAGAGACGTAGAAAGCCTCCGTCAGGACATATAGCCGCTGGTGGTAGATCTTCTAATTTGTCACAGGGACAAATTAGAAGATCTAAATTAGTGTATTCATTAACTAATATATTGGCTCTTTACATCACACACAACTATAGGCAAAGATGTGAATCACATGGTGACTCCAGGGTGGCCCCGTCATTGTTGCCACAAAGCTACTCCGCACACTTTTAAAGGTTACAGGTCACCCTATTGCAGAGTTTTCTTCTTCTGTAATAGTCCAGCTGGTGTGTAGCCAAGAGAGATGGACACAGACGGAGGTTTGAGAGAGGAAAATGCTTTTCAAACAAAAAAGAATTATAGAAAACAAGCTGTTGGACTCCGATGACTAGTAGGACTGCTTCTAATCTCATCTGGTCTCGCCTCGTCACATCTAGTTTTGTCTCATTTTTTCTCGTCTCGTCTCATCTAATTTTGTCTTGTTTTGTGTCATCTCGTCTACTCTCATCTCATCTAGTTTTGTCTTTGTCTCATGTCATCTAGTTTTGTCGTTTTGTCTAGTCTTGTCTCATCTGACCTCATCTCATCTAGTTTTGTCTTGTTTTGTCTCATCTCATCTCATCTAGTTTTGTCTTTTTTTGTCTCATCTAGTTTTGTCTCGTCTCATCTCGTCTAGTTTTGTCTTGTTTTGTCTCGTCTTGTCTCATCTAATCTAGTTTTGTCTCGTCTCATGTTGTCTCATTTCATCTAGATTTGTCTCATCTCGTCTAGTTTTGTCGTGTCTCTTCTAGTTTTTATCTTGTTTTGTCTAGTCTCATCTAGTTTTGTCTGGTCTCATCTCGTCTCATCTAGTTTTGTCTCATTTTTTCTCGTCTCGTCTCATCTAATTTTGTCTTGTTTTGTGTCATCTCGTCTACTCTCATCTCATCTAGTTTTGTCTTGTTTTGTCTTTGTCTCATGTCATCTAGTTTTGTCGTTTTGTCTAGTTTTGTCTCATCTGACCTCATCTCATCTAGTTTTGTCTTGTTTTGTCTCATCTCATCTAGTTTTGTCTTTTTTTATCTCATCTCATCTCATCTAGTTTTGTCTCGTCTCATGTTGTCTCATTTCATCTAGATTTGTCTCATCTCGTCTAGTTTTGTCGTGTCTCTTCTAGTTTTTATCTTGTTTTGTCTAGTCTCATCTAGTTTTGTCTGGTCTCATCTCGTCTCATCTAGTTTTGTCTTATTTTGTCTAGTCTCATCTCACCTCATCTCCTCTCAATTCTCATTTATTGCCTCATTTTATCTTCCAACTCTCCTCATTTTGTTTAACTTTACTCATCTCATCTAAATTTCTTCTCTTTTAAACTTTATGTATTCCCATCTCGTGTGACAGCTTGTCAGCTCTCATCCTATCCCATCTGGTCCTAATTTTTTCTTGTCTCATCTCATCTTGCCTGTCCTTATCTCGTCTCTTGTCTTGCCTTGTTTTGTTTCATCTTGCTGTGTCTCTTCACTTATTTCTTCTCTTCTTGTCTAACGTCTTCTCATTTTGTTAATTCTCTCATCTCATTTGATCTCATCTAGTCTAATTCTCCTTTAACTTTTTATTATGTATTTCCATCTCATGTCACGACTTGTCTCATCTCATCCCGCCTGTCCTCATCTTGTCTTTTGTTTCATCTTATCTCATTTTGTCTCAACATATCTCTTCCCTTTACTTCTTATTCTTCTCTTCTATTATAATTTTAATCTTATCTTGTCTTCAACCTTTAACTGTGTATTCACATTGTGTCGCATCTGGTCTTCTCTCATCTCATATATCTTCTCTTCTTGTTTAATCTCAGCACATTCATCTTAAGCTCGAAGTATACTACGGTTTTGTATGTGTACACTAATGTATGCGTACAGTGGAATACATAGCCTTTCAAATTATACTCCATTTGGTAGTGTGCGTGAACGCAGGCAGTCGACACGTGCTCTAGAATTGTTCAGTGTCTGCTCTACTTTTCTCCAGAAGTTATGACGGATAAAAATATCTTTGTACTCTTTTAAACTAAAGGTGCGACTATCTAGCGTTTGTTGTTGTTGCAGTCTCTGCTATTTTGTTGTTGTTGTTCCGTCTCTTTAGTTTTGTTTTCTGCTTTGAAACAACAGCCTGGGGCCGGTGTTGCCACCTTGTGGAACAATTGATTAGTGCAGAAAAATTCAATGCATATGTGCGACCTGCACATACAAAGTATGCACTTTTACAAAGAGTAGTACTATTCTGTTGACAGAATTTGTGTTGCGCACTTAAGTATAATTTGGGCTTTATTTGCTCACCTCTCGATTGGCATGTCTTGCCTCATCTCATCTTTTCTCACCTGATCTTTTTTCTTTCACTCTTTTAACCTCTAACCACCCTCATTCCCATGCTGGTGTAAATTGTCATGAGCTTTTTAAAGGATGTATGATGTTGAACTTTACAACTCAACGGTAGATTAAACACATTTTTTACCAGGAAATGAGGAGAATATGGGCCTATTGTCCATTTCTCAGTCCAGCATTTTAGAATTCTGAAACAAATGTAGTAAAATGAAACTGAACTAAATCAGACGGTCTGACTGGTTTTCATTAATGAGTGTAAACTGACCTCAGGACGCCTGCCACGGTTAACATATGCACACACTGGGCTGTAGGCTCCACTGCCGCAGATGAACAGATGAGTCCTGTTATAAGGCTGAATCACTCGTAAGAAGTTTCCACATCCATGCTGAGGAGAACAAAAGAGACAGAGATAATTGTTTTCATTCCTAAAAGTTATACTAAAATCTCTTTTAATGTAATTTTAAAGTCATTTAGTGCTACATAATTCTATTAGCAAGCTGCTACGCTCCGTTCTTTTATTTCGGAAAAAGACAATGCCAGTTAAAATTAAGACAATTTATTTTGATCCAGACCTGTAATTGAGGAAATAAAAGTTTATATAGGTCAGGAATTTAAGGCCTATCTTAGAATACAGGAATCCCAAACTAAAGTGGAAGCCAAACCGACTACACATGATCCAGCCCAAAGAAAGAGTGAGAGAGGGATGAGTAGAGAAAGAAAAGAAGCGCCAGGGGAGTAGTTAGGAACTTGGCGAAGTGTGTCAAAACAGCAGCTGCATGAGCTCTCGGTTAGCATGCGCACACGCAGGTCCTTCAAGAGCAACTCCAGAAAAATAACAGCGCTTCCAATAGCACACACCCAACCATCCACTCCTCCCCTTGATCTCTTTCACATGTTTGTCATTAATAGTTCTGTGGCACATCAACATTATCCTCTTCTGGCTTGTATTCACTACTAGATTTATGGTATGTAACCTTTTTCTTCCGCAAAGGCAAAAAGACATCTTGACAGCTTATGGTTCACGTACAGATCAGGCAGAATTAACAAGAAAGCGCTCCATAAACACTAATATCATTTACAGCTCTCTTAAATAAACCCCTCAGTGTTTCCCAAATGATGCAGATGGATTCGGATGATGTGAGGTCATGCGCTGCCGCTCCTGTGGCTACAGGTCCTGTCAGGGGAGAGGGATGGGGTATATCCCTGTGAGGGGAGGAAACCTGACAACCTGACAAGAGGCAGTGCTACAGATCCATAGATACAAATAAAACGTCCAAGGAAATCTGTGGCACAAACCCTATAGTTTAAACACAGAGGAAAACGGACTGTCGGAAAGGTTCAAACACAAATATTTCTCAGAAGCAGTGCGGAAAGGCTGATCTGCAAACTCTGCAAAAGCTGCATATATCACTATTTGACATGGTACTCTGTACCCCCACTGGTAAAGTTATTAAAGCGCTGTAGTCATACAATTTAGGACTGGGTGAATTTTAGTAAAACTTTCAAGGACACTTGGTGGGATTTTCACCCATCCATCCATCCATCCATCCATCCTTTTTTTTATGTGAAATATGACCCAGACATTTTTTATAAGAGTCACCTTGATATTATACACATCCATTATGTGGAGTAAATTAAAATTGAGCCATGACCAGTAAATTGGGACATATTTTCACTCATCTCAATGTAAAAAAATAGCCAGGGTTTACCTAAATTTGCCCTATTTTCCAGTTACATGCAATTAAAATATACAATACCTAATTTCATATCTGAGTGCAGTGCACATGTAAATGAGTGCATTTTTCATAAGCACATAATCATTTGTGGTATGGGTGTGAAGTAAAATATTTATCTTTGGCCAGTTGAGAACTTTGGTCCATCCTGCATTTACTTTGTTTTAACACATGTAGTTGATGACAAAGAGAAGGTGTGACCTCCCACTGCGCTTCAGACAACATCTAGAGACCGCTTTTGCTCATGGGCACTGGGACAAGAGCCATCTGTTTCTGATCCAGCCATGACTGTTAGAAATTGGAATAATAAAACTTTATTTTGAATAAACTCATGCATCTGTTCCTGATCCAGCCATGTCGGTTAAAATTTGAGGACTAAACACTGATTTAAAATCAGCTCATGCTTGGTGCTCTTTTGATTGATTTGGGACAAGTTTAATTAATTGCTGTGATTGTAGGGAGAATAATGCATGTGAAAACAGCTCACTGGATGATCACTTCACCAAGCAACAGACAAATAGGAGTCGAATCAAGAATGCTGCTGCTTTCAGTGAAACAGAGGCATAAAAGATCTGGCCAACCATAACATGCCAGGAGTTTAAAAGTCCCAATGTTCTTACTGTGGGGTCTTTGCCAGCCATCTGACACTCCTCGATCTTACTAGTGGATGCCGGCCAGAAGATCTGAGAAAAAATAGCAATGAGAGCAATGAGAAAATTGCAATATATGGACAAAAGAACATTAGATATAAAGGGTTTTATTCTTTTGACTGACAGATATATACTTTAAAGTAATACTTTTATTCAGCAAGGATGCAGTAAATTGATCAAAATCAATCATCAACAGCCCCTGTCACCTTTCATTATAAGCACATGCAAGAACAGCCTGGACATTCTGTAAAATTCTTCCTTTTACAATAAATAACCATCTTAAAGCCTAGTAGTTATTTAGCAATCTTAAGCTCTTAAAATAGACACAAATCATGCTGTTTTGTACTCTAATTTGGGTGAGGCTTTTTACTGGTGAACTCGTGATTGGGGTTGAGCCCGCCAGGATAGATGGGCAGCATAGACCAGCAAAATGCACAGGAATGTAATGAATCTCTGAAGTTTTGCCAGCCTTAGCTGGAAGAGGAAAGATTAACTTCCATAATTTTTGCCAGTTGTGTTCAAGCTGTCACCTCAAAAGCCAACAGTTTAACCAAACTTCAACTCTCCCATTAGTCAAATGTGAAGGAAAGAAATATGGTCACCATTGGTTTCTAAAACTGTTGTGCTACATTTCAAATTGATATACAGTAGAGAGGTTTTGACTGCTCTCTTACCTTCAGCGGGGTCTGGCTGATGTTGTTGATGTCCATCGAGAGTACATGGTCTTTGCAGCCCACGTACATACGGTCTTGATCTTCGTCCATGAAGAGGATCCTATAGTCCATGGCTTTCTCAGACAAAGTGTAGTGCTCAAAGGACTGGATTTTCTGTAATTCTGTAATGCAAACACAAACATGTTCTTTGCATTTGTGGTTTTGGTTTTTACTTGCTGAACCCCAGTCTTATTCCAAAACACACACACACACACACATGCTCTCATACGTATACAAAGGCGTAAGGCCCTTCACCATACCATCAAAGTCTCTCTAACGAAGCCCAAACTCATGAATATTCATTGTTGTTTCTCATTAGTCATTCACTAATGTATAGAGAAGTGGAGGCCACATTGATACCCTCCTCTAAGTCTTTATCCTTTTTAACACTCATTCTAAAACCATCCCTTCTTATTTTTCTCTTCAATGACCGGATAACTCCCACTAGTCCCAATGAAAGTCACATTTCTCTTATCTACAGCCACTTTCTTTTCACGTTTCTGCTTTTCATCCTCGAATAAAGAGAAGTCTGAGTAAAGTACCTGCCAAATAGGTTTGTATATTCACCAAGCTGCCTATAAACACAAAACCTGCAATTCCCTCCTTTCTTAATGGATCCCAGGACAAATAACTCCATCCATGGCTTCCCATTCAAACCAGCACATCCAAAGCAGGGTTGTGCAAGAATTCAAGAATTTATAATAATAAAACCATTCTAAGATATATTTAAAACATTACAGTTTAACATACATTAGCATATATTAAAATATGTTATTAATCAATGTACAATATTTTGTATCTAATGTTTAGAGATTTGTCATACTTCAGTTCTGTCAAAACGATGGCAACCATTAAATTGATATTCATTTTGCCATACAGCACAATAAAATTTCCATCAAATTGTTTTCAGAAAATGTTATAAAAAAATATATATATATTAACATCAAAATTAGCCTCTAATATTGAATATAATATATTGATTAATTAGGGCATTCTCAGAAATGCCACCATCTTCCACCATTGTTCATTAAATGAAAATTAATGCATTAAATATAACTAAATATAAATTAAGCACACATTTCTGCTGGTGGCATTTCAAAGATATAATGTTAAATACATTATTTAATAAATTCTTAAATTAAATATTACCAGCAATATCACACAAGTAGCAGTGCATATGGCGATATACAGCCATATCACACTGCTACTCGTGTAATATTGTTGGTATCTTTAAAAACCCTCTTTTGTAGGGAACTACTTCCTTCCACCACGGATTCAAATCTTGACCATTTAACAGCTGAGCCCAAGCTTCCATTTCGAATTCGAAAACGTCACTTTAGAACTAGTAACAAAGGGACATTGAATTGCTTCCTTGAAAGCTTATTGAATTACTGCAATAAAAGCTCTTAGTATTATGTAGAGTATAAAATCTCTCCGAAAACGTCTAAGCAAATTTTCAAATAGACGTTATCTTTATTAACAAACCGCATATTTGAAGTCAAAACAACTACATTCTCACCTAAAAAACTCTTGAAACTACATTCCGTGACACAAAAGCAGTATTATTTATAAAATTATAGTGAAGTTGGGCATCCATCATGACACTCTTTGTGAGAAATACCACAAGCGGAGTGATACAAACGGTGAAATGGTTGGAGTTCTGTTATCGCTAGAATATCACACTCCTGGAAGAGGCTTTCAGCCAATCAGATTTGAGTAGCAGAAAAAAACTGTTGCATATATGTATAAAATCATTTAAAAACATATATATTTCCTTTTTTTTTCTACTTAAAATTCTAAATAAAATTTTACATTTAAAATTTAAAATGTTTAAAAATTTAAAATTTAAAATTCAGTCATTTAAAAGACAATCTAATTATTCTATAGATTTAAAGGGACTAGCTCACAAGACGAGGTGAAGATCACCCCAGGCTCTCTGAACAACATTGACAGTAGACAGCATGTCTCACCAGACTATTATGGGATTATATTGGTGGAGAAGGCCTTGTCAAACTCATCATTCTAACGTAGCTTTAATAAAGAGATGTGCAGAGGGCAACAGATTACATCAGCCAGGCTTCAAAGCGCCACCGATAGCATCTCAGTAAGATAAGAGTGGCATTATTACTGCTCAAAGAACTCATCAGGGCAAAATTGAAATGAGTGCATGAGAATTAGACGGAGGGGAATGAAGACATAACGTTGCAGAAGAAACAGTAGAGGAAGCATATGAGGAAATAAGTATGAAATAAAATGCCTCAAAAGAGGGAGCGAAAGAGAGAAATCCCACTTCTGGTTAGGTTTCAGTAGACTAATTAGAAACATGCAGCTTCTGTAACCTCAGACAGAAATCACAAAATCCCATTTCACCCCATTCAGCAGACTCATGCCATTTAAAGACTTTCATAAAGATTTCCTTTTTGGAAAATTGCTTTGTTAGGTGAGCCTTTCATTTCAGCACTTTTCAGCTTCTGTTTCAGGTTCTGTCTAATATGAAAATGCTGTGTTGCTCAAACGTTTAAAAGTAACTTAAGGTTAAGTTTCTTTCTTGACGTCTGTGCGGCACAAAATATTTCCCAGATGTTAAATTCTTCATAAAGGCAGCTTTTATAACATTATAAATGTCTTTACTCTCACTTTTGATCAATTTCATGCATCCTTGCCGAGTACAATTGATTAATTTCTATAAAAAAAAAGATTTTTTACTTACCAAATTTTAAACAGTAGAGTAAATAAAGGTTTAGTTTGAGTGTGTTAGGTTAAACAATGATTAACCTCAAACTGTTTATGTTTGTGTTGTTCCATTGTGTTGAATATGACATTTTAATATTTTCTTTCGTTCTATAATAATTCCTAATGTGAATTTGAAGCAGTGTTTGTTAGTCTTCATGTGGGAAAGTAAAAGACAGCACAGTGGGAAACGTTCACAAGACCTTCCCACCCCACAGATAAACGGACACACGTTCCGCCTCTCAGGAGGATTCTGTGGTGTTTTATGTCCGCCTGTCCTGACCCCTGAGCCCTGAAAACAAGAATCATACTTGGAGTTATTAAGACACACATCTAAGTCAACATTCCCAACTGACAGGTGCCATCACACCTGCTAATAATGCGATTAGGGAAAATTATGTAGTTTATTTCATATTTGGGGTTTCCACGAAGGGGATACAACAGAACGTTTATCTAATTTATGCTAAATGTAAAATAATATTTGACTTAAGTTCAAAGGTCACTTAGCGCATTTCTCAGTGAGGGCAGACAGGGAGAACATACTGTGCACTAAAACTTAACACTTCAGTGGAGATGTGAAAGTTTATACTTTTGAGTGACTAACATAGTGAAGACTGTAATTCCAATCTTGTAATTGATTTATTATATATAGTATGTATATTGAGAAGTAACAGCAACAAGAGGTGTGCGTTTAAAAAAATTGTCTGAATTACTAATCCTACACTGAAATTAACAAATATAAAACTGAAGGATGCTTTTGCACAAGTATTCAAAACTCAAATTTTATTATTTTTACATTACACATTTTTTTTCTAGGCAGATTCACTTTAGGTAGATTGAGTTAGTTGGATGGTGCTTACGCAATGCAGTTTTCCAAATTGTGTCAGGCCAGTTGGACTGGGATCAAGGCTTTGACTGCGACATGGCATCAGTAGAGAACATTCATCTTTTTGTTGATGAGCCACTGCAGTGTTAATTTGGCCCTGTGTTTGGAATCACGAACTTTCTCCCAAGCTGAAGGGTGCACCTCACAGAGCAACACTGATTGCATCATACTGCAAGAGAAGCTTGACAGCTTCATCAAAATGAAACTTAATTAGGGTCTGAATGCTTTTGAAAAGGCAGTGTTTTCATATGCCATGTGATATTGCAGTATGACAAATAGGATTACATAATATATTTGGGTCAATGACTAATAAGAATGTGCATAACAATAAAAACGAAAAATCCAGTTTAAAATGATGGCCAGCATTCTTGTCCCAGTGTTGCTTTCTTGTGTAAAAGCATTAGTGGTAGGGATTTTCAGTTATTCTTCTGGAGGTTTGCATCAATACTGTACAAAATACAGATTTATTTAGGGACAAAAAATATGAGTGATTTATGGAGTTATTAACTCAAGTGATTAGTTCAAAAACATGGATTTCTTCCAAAGTTCATTAAGGTGTGGTCACTTTTGCCATTGCTCTGCAAAATTTAGTGGGTGAAATCCAGTCATCTCAATAGGAATCGGAGCAATCAAGAGATTTGCATGAGGATGAAAATGTTTTCACTCGTGTATAATTTGGTCACGTCAATTTGCTGCACTGACCAACAGAAAGCTGCTGGTTTTGGTTTAAAATTGACTTCTGTGTGAGCTGTGATTCATACACTGCTATGCTATTGACAATGGGCAGTGGACCTTTTTTGACAATTCGTCTGAAATTTCGCAAATGTGACTACAACAGAAGTTAATTCGGCTAATAATTGGCAATATTGTATCCAAAAGGTAAGTTACTTGTTGATTGAACTATTGCAATAAACCATCGTGACGTTACTAAATATATATTGCAATAGTGTGTGAGTTCAGCGACAATGCAAAACTGAGCAAGTTATCAACTCACTATCCTGTACTTTCTCTCATGTGTTTAGCATTGGAAGGTGGTTTGTTTGGATGAAGGAATGAAAATTCCATTGTATATTTTTCGCCATTTTATGTTTTATTGAAGTATAGATAAATGCTACTGTTCATTTCCATTTATGTTTTTTGAGAAGCTTCACTGTCGACAAAAAGATTTCAACACCCACAAAACTGAGTATTTGTTATGTTTTGTGAATAAATTAATGGGTCCAGACTCCAGACTCAAAAAATGGGCATCACGTCAGTGATCCATCTACGCACAGCTCAAGAAAATCAATGAAAGGGTATTACAAACCACATAAGGATTTTTGTAAAGGTAAACCACAATTTAAAGCATATTATTAATTTAAAAACATAGTTTAGTCCAATCATGACTAGTGTCAAGAGACTATTGATGAGGGCCCTGATCTCAGTGTGGATAAAAGATGAAGAATGCATAGTTGTGCTACATCGTTGAAAGTTGGCAGACATCAACCCAGACGAAAACATCTGAGA